AAATTTCTTATCGTTGATGAGTTGCTTGCTTTTGCAATCAAATTACGCAACGGATTGTTCCAATTTAGGTCTATCTATGTGATAAACATTGCATGCCTTTAGTAGGTTCAATGTTGAACAAACTCCTAGTCCTAAGTGCCTGAATGGGCACTTTTCGCTTATCAGTTTTTCAGAATTTTTCCAGCCCCCCCACCTCCCACCCTTCGCTCTTGTCAGGGCCCTCTCCCACCATTGAATTTATGTTATTTTTACTTGAAGGTTGACTGAATGAAGCATATTACTACCTAGAAGTATTTGGTAAAAAGTAATTTGAGAATCAATTTTATGTCTGTTTATAACTAATTAGATAAATTTTCCAACCACATCCCGTTAATTCCAATCCCCAGGGCTTATCAAATATTTCCTGAGCTCTAAAACAACCCGCTTTTTCCGACCTTCACGTTTATTAAAACCTTACAGTAGGTAGCTTAAGAACACATTTGAGTTGAATAATGTATTAGAATGTATTTGAGTGACATTTTACAGAAAAAAGTACCCTGTATTGTCGAGACTCTGTATTTTTGGACGCTTTTAAAATCTAAAGGAAAATGTTTAAAGAGTTTTTGTGCACATTTTTGGAATGAATGTGTGTTCCAGGACTTTCTTCGCAAGAAAAACCTGTTCAGGAAACCATCTAGCAAGATACGAGAACAAAACCTCATGTATATCACACACCAAAATCTCGGACATCCACTGGCTTTCCAGCTGTCATCAGACGCCCACCGCTCAAGGTAGGTACAAGTTGTCTGCATGGTCTGATTATCACATCAAGTGCTATATAAGTTATTGCGAGGAAACTCTCTCATCAAGCGTGGTCAATTGTAGAACTTCAAGTCTGAAAATGTTCATCGGTGTTTTGATTCTAGCAGCTGCTTACTCTGCTTATGCTTTTCAACGAGCGCCGTCTTTACAATCAATAAAACGGGGAGAGGAAATAGCATCATCTTTCCCTCGCCAGCAACCCGGCGAAGAAAACTTATATGGAACACCACCCTACATAGTTGATTTATACAAGACGCTGGCTAAAAATCCAAGTCCATTGCCGTATGGAGCTGAGTTCGTGCGAAGTTTTCCAGCTAGAGGTATTGCCGTCTTGACAATAATTGTCTTGCAGATTCTTCATCTATGTATGTTCACCGTATCATATAACGAGCAATGCTATAGACAGCCCCTAATGGCAACTTTATCCTCCTTGCAAAAGTAGCAACTATCTTTTGCATTTTGTTATACATGTTATACTGCTTTGAAATACATTATAAAATAGGTTTCTTTCAAAATAATTAATCGAAAGCTTAATTTGAAGGTAAAGGGAGTTTAGTAGAAGCCATCAAATTTTGTAGGTATTCTCGCCGTAAAATCACAAATCTAAGTTTGAAAAGTAAGTTCTCAAAGCTATTATGACACAGTGTACTACAACTGACATCTGCAGAGCAAATTCTCCTTTTCGAATCAGAACTTTCGTGAAGAGGCTCTCGCTGTTGATACACTCTTTTTTTATAAGAACCAGTAAATTTAAGTTCAGGCTGACTGTTCTTAATTTTTTCGAAAATCTGAGGCTGGATTGTTCTTATTTTGTTCTTAAATTAAGAGGGTGTAAGCAGTGCTATTGCTAGCTTTTTCGCTCTAAGGAGGTGTTCAGGGCTCATTTGCCAACAAAGTGAGTGAGATAGCCTTTATTTGCTGACAAATTTGAATATTCACAGAAAAGGCATCCACACATCGCTAAAAATCCTCGATTTTGAGAAAAAACGTTTTTCAAAATTGCATTTTGCAGAAGCTCAACCTCAGCTTGTTCTTAATTTGTTCTTAACTTTTGACCAGTTTTGAGGCTCGTGTTCTTATAAAATTGTTCTTATAAAAAAAGAGAGTGTAAAGGCATGTTCTTGTTACCATGGTAGGAGCTAGCAAGAGTATTAAATGGGCTGAAAATTCGAACGCTTTTTCCTTTTTGTGATGGTTTTTTCGTTTCTTTTAACCAATGTTGAAGAAAATGACAGGTTGATGATTTATTTATTCTTAGCCCTCAAGTAATTATAATCTCTTAAAACCAGAAGTGTTCTTGCTGCTTCTTAAGCAAGCAGTTTTGTTGTATTCCTATTTTCGGGACTTCTTTTTCCTTTTTTAATTCATCCTCGCTAAACACTTTTAATGATCTTCTTGCTGATCATAAAGGACCGCAATTTTTCAAGTGTGCAGTAATGTTTCAAACCGTCTCGAATTGCTTTGAAGTGTTTCGGCATTTTTCGGACAGACAACAAAGAACATATGCTTCAGCGATTCTATCAGCATTCAAAAGAACTGTCTCCAATAACTTTAATACAATGATCCCAACAACATTCATAAAATGCTGGAGTTTCCCTTTGGGCAAAGAAATAAACACAGATACAACAACGAAAGAAGACCACACTCCTTCCAAAAGCCTTATCTAAAAATTTGAAAATGACAAGGGATTTTTTTATCATGTTTGTGTGACAAAAAGAATGATGCAAGCATCTCTTATCTTCGACAGCAAATTTAACGCGGGGGAACTATATTAAGTGCTAGCTTTGAAAAAAACAAATAAGAGAATCTATGTCATCATTATCATCATGATATCTAATCATGATATCACAACCTATGCATTTCAAGGTCTTTTTATAGCAATTCCCCAACAATGTAGGTAATGTTCACCTGTTCATCACTTGCGGTGTTGTCACGCACCTTTGCTTCGAGCAAGTGTTTGAAACTGCAGTCTCATTCCCACGTTCATCTCTGTTGGGCTGGGAGATAGCGTTTGTCACACTCACACTCTTTCAATGCTTCCAAAATGTCCAATATCTCAAGTGAATTTTCGCAGGTGATCAACATTAGATCCTCTCTCCATTATAATGTTGTTTATAAGCAGCTTTTATAGCATCGTTGTTCTTTAGTTTTGTCGTTTAGTAATTACAAAGAGTTCTTGGACCAACATGAAAATAAAGGGGCGAAAAGGGAGTCACAATTGATGCATCTAAAAATGACTAATTGTCAGATACAAACCAAAAAGGACCTTAAAAAAGGGTGTTCAAAAAACGATGGGTACTCAAAACTATTTTACAACAAGATACTTACATTGCGGCAAAAGCATTCTAGATTTTTTTATACATGCAAACCCGGAAAGAATTCGCAATTATTATTGAACAGGTGGTACGACTTAAACGTACACACTTTCATTTATGTGATTCAAAATACATGAGCAATATATTGGCAAATTAATCCTATAGATAATTTGTGGGAAACTCCCATCTGTCGTGAATCAATCATCTCATGATTGATCTAGAGCCATGTTATAAAACGAAAACGTAAAGGCTTTTTAGAAAAGTTTGAAAATGAAATATATAATCAGAATTAGATCAAAATTGTTGTTGTCTATCAATAATCTTCAATTCTACACTTCCTTTGAAGACAAAACAAAACAAAACTTGTAACTGGCATACTAGATTTACCAAAAAACTTGATTATTATTTTGTTTGTTTCGCTCAATATTTCTTAAAATCTGGTTCCGTTTGGTTTCAAAATGAAAAAATATGTTACTTGAAATTCTCTCACAGTCATATCCAAACATCAAATTTCACCAAATAGACAAAATTGTTTACATTACCGAGAAAATTTGAGGAAGCCGAAAAAGCGCAAATAAACTATAAACCTAGAATTTAATCACCAAGATCATTATTAAAGTAAAGCTCTCTTTAATCTTTCAATTATTCATTGCTTAAGATTGCATTCATAATATTTTCTTCATCATTTGCTTCAATATTATCCCATTCATTATATTTTTCTTTGATTGTAACATTTTATTGTAGTATATAACAGTTATATACAGGGCCCTCGTTGATAAGAGCACTCCGTGTGTTGAAGAGGTTACCCTGTCTAAATAGTGTTATTATTATTATTATTATTATTACTATTCTTATTACAATTATTATTATTATTATTATTATTATTATTATTGTTAGTATTATTATTATTATTATTATATTATTATTATTATCTTCATCATTTTAGCACAGCCTATACGTAGGGAGGGAGTTTCTATTGAGTAACAGCTTGTTATCGCTCAAGCAAAACTTTCTCTCGAACTAAAAATTGCATGTAGTGCTTCTCAAGCGGAGAGAATACAAACCACCTTCATTGATAAATGGCCTTCTGAGCAAAGATACGATTATAAAACGTGGCTCACAAGAAAAAATACGGCTATTGCTGGATATTCTGTTTTTGCAACATCTTCTGTGTAAAATCCTAAATATCTATTTAATCTTGACTTTAGGTAGACCGAAAAAGACCTCTTTCATCTTAAAATTCAACATCCATATTCCGAAAAGGGAAAAGATTCTTCATGCAATGCTGCATTTTTGTTTGAAGCGTGAAACACTGAAAAATATCTCATCGATAGAATTCACAAACGTAAGATCTGACAAGACAATGCGCCTAACAAAGACAGAATTTGGTACCAGCAGATGCCAACTTTTTCCAGTCACACCTCTGCTAAGAAGAAAGTATCGTAACAGTCCGAACAAATCAACAAAGTGTGTTGCAGTAAGGCAATCAACAATCAATACAACATTTTGTATTTTATCATTTTATTAGTAAAAATATGTGGTATACATTACACGCTCATTTCCAACACACACTCCCTTCATTAAACCATAAGCAATTAGTTTTTAGTTATCGGTCCCTTTAGAAAATATGATTACAAAAGATATGTGTAAATGTTCCAAGTCAATTAACCAAGCGGCAAATACAAAAGATATTACCAACAATAAATGTGTTAACGATTAAACCTATGTAGATCTATTACGAGACAAAAGAAATAGTAAGAATACTGAAAACACGACCTTGATTAATAACACGCTGGTTAATTACGCAAGTAAACCGTGGGAAAGGCGTTTGCGCGGCAAACTCCCTGCTTTCCGCGACACTCTCCCCCCTTGACTCACTCCGAGTCAAAAAACAAGACGGGTCCGCCATAGCGCGTCGGCAGCTGCAGCTCTACGAGGCCTATTCCGTACTTCCTTTCTTTCACTGTCACCATTTCCTATATCCCCCACTTCGTCACTTGTCCCTGTTATCTCCAAAGGATAAAGTTTAGTAATTGGTCTATTAAGTAAATCTCGCTTACCTTTGCAAATCTTAACTACAGAAGCACCCCGTATCTTACCATCCTTACCGACAATTATTCTTTCGATTCTTCCAATCTTCCATTGACTTCTTTTGACATTTTCATCCTCTATCAATACTATGTCTCCTTTATGCATGTCACAATTGTCGGCTCCAGCAGCATTATGCTTTTCACGTAGTTCCCTCAAATATTCGGTTCTCCATCTCTTCCAAAAATGTTGTAATTTCCTAACTAGATAAAGGAATCGTTTACTATGCGAAGTTTCATCATCAGAATAATTAAATTCTATATGATCTGCAAGAGGTGATAATCTCCTACCAAACATTAAATGAGACGGTGTTAGTATGTCAACATTAAAATCATCCTCGTATATGTACGTCAGTGGTCGAGAATTCAAAATTCCTTCCACTTCTACTAAAACAGTATGCATTTCATCCTTATTCAAAAGAGCATTGCCAAGAATTTTTCTAAGTATACGTTTAACTAAACCAACCATTCGTTCAAACATGCCACCCCACCACGGACTTCTTTCTAGATTAAATTTCCATTCTATTCTTCTTGACTCCAACTCCCGCTGCATATCTTTATTTCTGAATATACGATTGATAGACTTGGCTGCTGCCTTAAAAGTTTTTGCGTTGTCGGATACGATTAACTCTGGCGTACCTCTTCGAGCAGTAAATCGTCTTAAGCATCTTAAGAAAGACTGAGCTGTAAGGTCTTCCACCAATTCTAAATGTAAAGCACGTGTTACACAGCATGAAAAAAGGGTGATATACGTTTTACGTGTTTTACCCTTTAACCCCTTGACATACAACGGTCCAGCAAAATCAACACCTACTTTGCTGAAAGGCGGCGACTCCTGTACTCTAAAATTTGGTAACGGTGCCATAGGTGGTGCCTTATAAGCCTTACCCTCCAATTTCTTACAGATTATACAAGGCTTGATAAGCTTCTTAATGAATTGCCTCCCCTTAGTAATCCAAAACCGAGATCTTAATTCCGTTAAAGTGACACGAAGACCCTCATGCCCCATTAACGCATGGACATGTAAAACAACGAGTTCCGTGAAATGATGGTTCTTTGGCAATATTATAGGAAATTTGCTCTCAAATTCCATATCAGAGTTTGATAGTCTACCTACACATCTTAAAATACCACTCTGCTCTTCAATGCGTAGCTGTTTCTTAAGCAATTCAAATTTTGGATCTTGTTTCAAGACTGCCTGCGCATTAATAATCCACAACCTTTCCGCAGACAAGATTTCTGGTACAGTTACAGATCCAATTAATTTTTCCTGTTTGTTCATTTTAGCTTTAAGATTATTTATGAATCGGCAGACATATGCAGTAACGCGTACAAGCTTATCATACGAACTGTACTTATTAATGTCAATGAGTTGATCAATATCCTTAGAACTCTCCTCTCTAATCAACATGGAATTGACAACCTTCTTACGTTCCACATCTACTTCAGAAGGTCTACCTAAATCAATATTTGACGGCCAACAAGACTTATCCTGACATAACCAGTCTGGACCATGCCACCATAACTCACTATCCTTCAAAGTATCAACATAAACCCCACGCGATCCTAAATCTGCTGGATTATCTTTACCGGGACAATGTCTCCACTCTTCACTTGAAGATAACCTTAAAATTTCATTCACTCTGTGTTGCACAAACTGTTTCCATTCATTTCTGTTATTTATCCAAAACAATGCGGTTTTACTGTCAAGCCAAAGATACCTTTCCTCTATATAACAGTAATTACTTAAGGCTGAGGAAACAGTTTTCATTAGTGTTGCGAGAATTCTAGCAGACATTAATTCTAAACGCGGGATAGAAAGAGCTTTCAATGGTGCTACTCTGGTTTTTGAACATACTAGCTGACTGAAAACTCCTTCCTTAGCTTCATAAACAAAATACACGGTAGCACAATAACCCTTTAAAGACGCATCAGCAAAACCATGTAGGGAACAATGCAAAATTTTCTCAGCATTCTTCCCATACAAACATCTGGGAATAACAATAGAGCCCACATTAATTAATGAACTTAACCAATTATTCCAACGCTCTAATTTATCAGGGGGTAACTCGTCGTCCCACCCAATATTTTCGACACACAATTCCTGAAAAAGAAATTTCCCATTAATCAGAATAGGCGAAAGAACTCCTAACGGGTCAAAAGTTTTGGCAAGAAAACTTAATATTTCACGCTTCGTTACTTTCTTACCCAGTAGTTCGGATGCAATTTTCGAAAATTCGAATTGCAAGGTATCTTCACGTTGATTCCAATGAATCCCTAAAACTTTACATGAGGAATCAATATCCTTTCCCTCATTCAAGATGGTTTTCGCATACGAATTGTCGCATTCTTTTGTCTTAAAATTCAACTCCTGAATAGCCTCAGATTCAATAACCTTCGCGACTTCGGGTTCATTAGTTTTCCATTTGCGTAAATGAAAACCTCCTTCAGCCATCCTGTTCTTAACCTTATAATACAATTCCAGCGCTGCTGTTACATTCTTAGCTCCTGATGCTAGGTCATCTACGTAAAATTCATTTCTTACATGTGATACAAATTGCGGATCGACCTCTGTATATTTGTCAATATGATGACGTAAAACAGCATTGAGTAAAAATGGAGATGAATTTACTCCAAAAACTACTCTATTAAAACGATACGTCTCAATAGATGGCGACTGGGAATTTATGTCATTAACCCACAAAAAACGTAAACAATTCCTGTCTTCAGGATGCACTTCTATGTTTAAAAAGGCTTTCTCAATATCGGCGACTAAGGCGACTTGGTGATGTCTCCAAGAGACAAGAAGATCAAAAAGCAACGGATTCAAGGACGGGCCTACGTGTAAACAATCATTCAAAGAAGTACCATTGTGTTTTTCTCTACACGATGCATCGTAAACAATACGCAATTTGGTGGTCTCTGCCTCCTCCCTTATAACAGCATGATGTGGTAAATAATGAACATTGCTAGAATTATCTAAACCTACAACCTTCTCTATAATCCCCCTCTCAAGCTGGTCCTTAATAATATTGTCATACTCTTGCAATACTTCAGGGCTTTTCTTGAGTTTAGATAATTGCCCCTTTAATCTCGCTACACTGACACCGTAATTAGTTGGAAGGGGTTTATGGGCTTCCTTCCATGGCAATTTAGTCGAGTAACGCTCGCCTGTAAATTCGATATTATCCACAATATCTTCATGAACATCAGTTGTAGGCCGTATTCCGACAGAATCTAAATCCCATAGTTTGTGGATCTGATCCTGTAAACTGGCCTTATCATTAAACACATTAGTTTCCTTATCCGATACAAAATTGATATTGACATTGCTGACAGAAGTAACATCAACGATCTCACCTTTAACTGGTCCTGAAAGAACCCAACCCAACTTTGTTCGTACGGCGACCGGCTCGTTCACACCTCCTTTTCTCGTTTCGTCCTCCATAAACCGCCACATGTAATCTGCACCGATCAGAATTTGTATGCTTAGTTGCTCTTCTTTCGAATCAACGTCTGAAAACCAAATGTCCTTCAGATGAGCAAAATCCTTCTTTACGATCTCTAAATGTTGGTTTTCCAGCTGTGAGATGGAATCTACAACACAAGCTTCAAATGGGATGTTATACTTCTTATCTACAGACGACAAAGTGATTTGAACAATGTCCTTTGCAGAAACATCTACATTAGTCTCACCAAATCTACATATACGCAAATTCTCCTTACGAGAAGGAAAAATGCCTGCTTTGTTCACAACATTGGAGGTAACAAAGGACCTGTGACTTCCCCCATCAAAAAGTACTCGCACTTTCACTTTCCTCGTTCCAATAACATAACCTTGCGCGGTTTGGAGAGCTACCCTCCCCCCACATTCAACACTCTCTACGCAAGTATTCGTGTTCGCCTTTCCGACATCCTTACACGCAGTAGAATTAGCATTACCTTGTTCACATAAGGCACTATGGTGTCTACCCTTACAAATATTGCATGAAATATTGTTTCTACATTTGAAGGATAAATGACCCTTTGCTAAACAAAGAAAGCAACGACCATATTTTTTCACAATATTTTTACGTTCACTAAAGTCCTTTACATTCTGACAATCAATTTCTTCATGAAATTTTAAACAAAAGGCGCATCGATGGTCCTTTGCAACGCTGTGCAAGGCACTCGATGTTCTCACCCAATCTTTGCCTTTTCCACTAGCAATCATTGACTGCATTCCAGACGAACCAGCAAGGTTTGGCTTCAAGATTGAAACGTGCGACTCTCGTACTTCAAGCTCGTTTCTCAACACTTCCAAAAAAGACGAAATGGGTAAATCTTCAGATCCCTTCACCGCTCGCAACATACTCAATCGAACCGCTTCTGGCAATTTGTCGAGCAGCAATGGAACGACAACACAAGAATACGTGGTCTCATCTATCATCATAGATTGCAGCCCTCGAAAATGTGTCTCAGCCATATCGTAGAAATGTCTAAGACGATCCAAATCGCGCTCTTTATAAACAGGTTGCAAATTCATTAGCTCATTGATATGCGATCTTTTTATCACTACTGGCTTTGCGAACCTTTGTTTCAATAAATCTACTGCCGCTTCATAATTAGCTTCAGTTAAGGAAAACCCAGCAATAACCTTTTTCACAGGCTCGTCTAACAGATAGCGTAAATACGTAAATTTGTCCACTTGACATAGTTCCTCATTTTCGTGAACTGACGAGCGAAATGCGTCCCAAAACTCCTGCCAATCATACGGTTTACCGCTGAATTTTCGCATCTCCAATTTAGGTAACCTTGCCCGTACCTTTCTAGTATTCAAAGTGGCTGTAGAACTTAGACTGTCAATGGAACCACTGCGTTGTAACTTATCATCCAATCGACCTTGGATTTGTATTATAGCAGCCTGAACTTTTGATCTAAACTGTCCCGCTTCTTTGCCTTCCTTTACACAATCATCGGCTTCTCCTTCCTCACTTATTAACCCCACTATCTCGTCGTCCAATTTATCAAGCTTCTTCTGCTTTTCCTTCAGCTGTGACTGAATCATTCTTAAATCTGTTTCACTCACGTCGTTTCCATTACCGTC